TGCCCCCGTGGGCCATGTAAGCACACGCCGCGGACCTCCTGCTAGGATCATTACCAGCCATTACAACAGCTCATTACCATGTGATGCCGTTGGGTCTTCTGGGGGCAGGTGCATTGTGGGTAATCTCTCTGTGCCTCAAGTTCCAATGCATAGGCCTTCTGGCTTCTTAATGTGCCTGGACCACCCCCGCTTACTAATTTTGCATCTGCACACTGGTCTTGAGCAGGGCTCTGATTGCATTATGAGAAGGCCACTCCGATGGTGCTCATCGGAATGTCACTACAGACTGTGCCGAATTCATGACACTAAAAAGCGGAGGCCTGCTCTCCATCCTACCTGCTGTACAGCAAAGGGAAGAGAAGCTCATGCTGTGTGGACGGCAACCTAAGACTGTTTCGATGTGCTCTGGATCTGTGTGTGTGAGAGACAACACAGTATGGGGAAAATGGTGATGTAGGATAGATGAGTCTTAGTAAAGAAGTGGCCTGTGGGGGGAGGACAGAACAACTGAAAGATGACATGGGTGGGGGAGGCTGGTATTTTACTGGGAAGACTAGAAGGGCTAAAGGTGGTATTTCAGAATGTGCTCTCCATTCAGAATGGGGTCCCCGCAGCACCAAGCGGATCAGTGCGGGGGTGCCAAGGATGTGTTTAATTATTCATCGCTGATGAATCGGTGCCATGGCAGTGGCCATTCTAAACAGGGGCCACCCCCCTACCCCCCCCCCCAACATTGTCTCTGTTAGGAAGAGAAAGGCTGGGAGGGTTTATTCTGGGGGCTCAAGGGCGTGTGATCTGTATGTTGTGATCCGGATTCTCTGGGGGGGTTTGTGGGGATTTTCCTGCAATAACAACAGTAATAATAACAATATCAACAATAATAACAATAACAACAGCAATAATAACAATAACAACAGCAATAATAACAATAGCAACAATAATAACAACAATAATAGCAACAATAATAAGTATGTGGATGGATGGAATAACAATAATTGTAACAGTAATAATAATAAACATTGAAATGAGCTACGTGCCTCCGTCACCATGCTGACCTGCTGACTTTCATCATCACCTATTTGGTCTAACACCGCTGCCCTTCACACCAATCCGTTGCCGTCTGCGATGCCCCCCTCCCCCCCGCCTGTCTACCCTCTCCATTAGGTTGTTAAATCTCTGGAGCCATTATCTGCGCCTTCCTCGGCTCTGCTCCGCCCCTCCCCTTGGGACTCAAACCCGACAACCTTGAGGCCGTTAGCCCCCATCATTAATCCTGCTTTGTTCCGGGCCGCACCCAACTCTCCCAGTCTCATATTACTCCCTTTGTCTCTTCACGCTCCCCCCCCCCCTCAGTCCAGCCTCCAAATCGAAAGTGAGCCTGAGCGCTGCGGGGGCCGATGTCTGTGTGTAACAGGTGCGGCTGGGGGCCCTGCTGCCCACTGTCTGGCACATGCTTAGTCACACCAGTCACACATATTCGAAAGGGTGGGGGTAGGGAGGGCTTTTGTGCTGGAGGCAGGTGCCTGGTAGCTACGGCGATGGCAGTGGGAGGGGCGGCGAATGTGGCCCAGGGGTTGGGCTGGGGGGGGCTTGGGGAGACAGTTGGCCCTCTGGACTTCCTCTCTCTCCATCTCTGTATCTCTCTCTAACTCTCTCCCCTCTCTTTTCCTCCCTTGCTTCAAATTCAGTCTCTCGCTCCCACTCTTCTCATTTTCTGTCACGTTCACTTGTTTTAAAACACTCCACATATGATCACCATTCATGGCTTAATGTGGACTGATCATTTTTCATTACATGCTGTGTGTTCCACTTTAGAACTACGAGGACCACATTCTGATTATTACTGATCATTAAACAGCTAATGAAATGATTTTCAAATCTGAAATTTCATGTGGGAAGTGATCAGTGCCTTCAGGGTCCTACAAGGAAACTGATGCATGGATTCAGACCTGGGAAAGAACCTGCCATCTCAGTGCACGTATCCAGAGAAGTCAGGGTCTGTCAGATACCCATAATTTGGCCTCCTTGTTTATTTACGGATCAAAGCCTCAGCTCGCTTACGAGGCTGAAACCACGGTACGATTTCAGCGGCACTGTGATTGGAAGAGACCGGTGTCGTCTGTTACCCGCCGGTCCGAAGCTGTGCTTGCTGAGGTTCTGACAGAACTCTCAGTCATGAGCGTGGCCAGCCTTCAGGACCATGGAGAGCTCCTGTGAAGCCGCTGTGGCACACTCACACACACTCATACACACTCATACACACTCACACACACTCATACACACTCACACTCACTCACACACACTCATTCACACTCATACACACTCACACACACTCACACACACTCACACACACTCATACACACTCATACACACTCACACACACTCATACACACTCACACACAGTCACACTCACTCACACACACCCTCACTCACTCACACACACAGTCACACACTCACACTCACACACACATAGTCACACACACATACTCACACACACACAGTGACACACTCATTCACACACATACACACATACTCACTCACACACACTCACTCACACACACACACAGTCACACTCACACACACAGTCACACTCACTCACACACACCCACACTCACTCACTCACACACTCACACACACCCACACTCACTCACTCACACACAAACACACAGTCACACACACCCACACTCACTCACTCACACACAAACACACAGTCACACTCACTCACACACACCCTCACTCACTCACACACACAGTCACACTCACTCACACACACCCACACTCACTCACTCACACACTCACACACACCCACACTCACTCACTCACACACAAACACA